TTATTATTATTATTATTATTATTATTATTATTATTACTTTATTTTCTGAAGGAATGGGCAAACTGAAAGGCTGGCAAAGGGTGATGCTGGCAAAACCCCTGAGAGACCGAGGCCAGGAGAAGGATTTGCAAAGGAGGGGAAAGCTTGGAAAGGCTCCTCCGATTTCTTTTCTTTTCTTTTTTCTTTTTTTAATTTTTTATTTTATTAACACGTATTATTCAAACATATCTATCAAACTGACATATTAATTTTTTCCAATAATTATATACAAATATTTACAATTGACTTCCAAAGTATCTCGAGTTTGTACTCAACCTTACTTCAATGCTCACTCATTGTCTTCATATGCAAGCAATTTTAAATATTAAATCCACTGTGTGTTATAACATGAGCTTTAACCATCTTGATCTTTTACATCAATTTGTATCTCTACTCAATTAAGTTTTCTCTTTCACAGTATTGCAGTATCGGGATCCAGTCTTGTCCAATACTTTCTATATTTTGTTTGTTCAATCTAGCTGTGAGTATATCCATACTCATCATTTCTGCCCTCCGATTTCAAAGTCCCCACTTCGGTTGGAGTGGGAATTTGTGTGCCTTAATAATAATAATAATAATAATAATAATAATAATAATAATAAAATTTATTTGTATCCCGCCCCTCTGAGGACAATCGAGGCGGCTAACAGTGTAAAATACACAATACAATCAACCCCAATAATCTCACCACCCCCCCTTAAAAAAGCATTAAATCCAATAAAGATTAAAAAACGTACAGATTAAAACTGACCAAATGGTCCCCTACCCATTTAGGAGGACCCCATAACTTAGGGTTTTCAGAGGGCCTTTGCAGACTGCCAGAAATAGTGCAAATTGAGTCCACTTTAAGGGCTAGAGTTAAGGAATCATGGGAACTGTAGTTTTCAGAATTCTTGACTGTTGGCCAAGCTGTCTGGGGATTCTGGGAGTTGAAATTCAAAACCCCTGGGGGACCGAAGTTTAAGAACCAAAAGCTTACGGAATTTAA